ATCGAAATCCGGTTTAAACCATCACATCGACTAACGTTGTTACTGTTCCGTTAACTATATGCTGATTAGGACGCATTTGTAAGATTACATTATAAACGACTACTAAGCAAAACGGCGTCGTTTTGTTTTAAAAACAAAAATTTAGGTATATCTAAGAATCGAACCTGGGAACTGTAGCCAATTTCTAAGAGTTTCATACCAATCGGCATGAGGTTGGGCCGTTACAGGTAAAACCATTGGTTATGTCGTCGAAGATGTGGAGCTCGCAGGCGAGTTGGTGGTTATTGGTGTCCTAATCATGAATTTTTTAAAACATAATAAAAATTTTATACATTTTCGTTTGCAAAGAGTGATGTTCTAGAATTATCTTTGTTATAAAGGAATATAATTTCACATTTTCAATGTAATTTTTTCTTATAAATAGCTTTCTAATATTTTGTTTACCCAAAAATATATATATAAATACAATTTTATGTAACTTGAGGAGTATATAAATGAATTACGAGCATTATCTAGTTTTCGTGCGATTTGTTACTACTTACTATATATTTTTTTCACTAAAACCTAGATTAAGATCTCCTCTGGTCCTTTCAAACAAACGTTTTTGTTCTGGTAAATATACATTAGATTTCATGATTAGTAATTTAATTTATTCTATAGGTTCGGTAGATAAAACTAACTAGATATCAAAAGTTGACTTTAAAAAACAGCTCGACTTCAAAGTTAATTTGATTATTCCATTAATTAAAATAGATCGTAACATATGTAACTATAACAGATTGAGGCATATATGCCACGTTTCTTTATTACAACATTCACAACAAGCATATCTTATTTCACACATTAAGGCACATTATTAAGATCCATATTGATTCACACACACAAACACACATATATAATAATTAAATTAGCCAACGACAGGGGTTTTTGTGACAATGCCATTGTCATTGACACGAACATAAACCCTATCACAAATCACAACAGCCAAAACAATTGCATTTTCAGATATAATCTTAGCCGTCACTTTCGTGTTCTCTCTATCGATGATCTCTTTTGCTTCTTCTCCTGTTTTCCCCACTAATTCAGGCCATGAACTCTTCATCCCTTCTCCTGCAGTATCTATTCATGTATACGTACACAATACATATAAATTACTAAATTATGATAATTCTATGATCCCCCTTTATGATTGATTATCAACTATCATGCATGCATATAAAATACCTGGGCATACGTCTGACATTTTTCTTCTTCTTCTTTTTTTTTTAAATTCTCTTTTATCTTCTTTGAGAGGTTATGATATTTGAAGATTGTACAAGAACCAAATGGCTATTTATAGAGAACTCATGTGGTGGCTATTCACTATAATGAGATGTCATATTTTTTCAATAGATTATTCAAAAGATTTAGATAAAAATTAAAGTAATCTTTTATTACTTTCAAAATATAGATTTATCTCGACTTTGTCTCAGGAAATAGTTGTTCCTAGATTACTATAATAATTAATAACAAAGAAAAAATCCAAACTAAAATCACGATTAGCACGATATGTATTAAGAAAAAGTCTGATCGAACCAAATTTATCTTTTAAACTATCTCCTACTCGTTTAGTTGTGCATTTTTATAATATATATACACACACATATATATATAAGAATAAAATGTATCGAATTATTGCGTTGATAATTTTTTGTGTCTAAACCAAATTTTTAATTGAAACTTTTACAACCCAAATGAAGAAAAACAAACCATTAACTAAGTATGGTCCAGTGGCTCGCTTTCTTGGTCGAAACCATCGATCAAATTCTTTTCACTGTGTTTCTAACACTATAAACATTTTAAGTGGGGAGAAAATTCAAATTTGGTAATTTCTAGAGTAAGAAACTTAGAATGAGTTCTTTTATCTTTTACTTGGATTGTGTTAATATACGTATAGGTTTACCACAAACAATGTTTTCAAAAAAATTTCTTTAGTTCATCCAATTGTTATGTTGATCTTGTGTTTGAGGAGAACATGAGAGAAGATAGAAAAAAAGCATGCTTCTTGGGTTTGTTCGAGTCAACGTTTTCTTTTTTTCTTAGTCCGTAACTTTTGCTAAAAACGTTTTCAATTTTTTTGTTCATATCTTTCCAAAATAAAATAAATCATAGAAAATAAAAGGTAAAATTAATAAGAGATCGTATGTGAGTTTTATATTTTTCAATTTTTGCACTTTCTTACACTTCACCTCAAGCTTCAGTTGTTCAACGTCTTTCGTCCTCTTTTTGAGCCGTTTTTCTCTGTGTTGCTATGCTCTTGTTGATTTGACACTGATGAATCAATGGCTTTTCTAGTAATTGAACGTTAAACGGGGAAAAAAGGAAGAGGTGAAGCTACATTAATAAATTGAAACCCTAAGGTAGAAGAAATGAATTCATTAATGATAGATATTTTTATTTTCGTAGTAAAATTAAATGTCATATGTCATTTTTTCGTGTAACGACATGGCGGAAAGATATATAGAGATAGTTCATCTCCTTTCATATATATGATTACTATTAGTTATTAGACCATTTCCAATGGTGCTTCAAATTTTACTTTTTCTTTTATTTTGAAGATAAAAATGAAAAAATCTTCTCCAATGTTGTTTCATATTTGAAGGTATACTATTCATATCTTTATATTTTAAAGATGGACTTTTTTTATTTACAAAACGATCCTTAAAAATATAACAAGTTTTTATTTTATACTAAAAAAATTATTTATTTTTATTTTATCCAATTAATTTATAATTTTCATATTTGTATTTGATCCAAAAAAATTAAAACGCAATGATAACTTATTTTAAATAGAAAACAACAAAAAACCTAATATAAAACTTAAAATACATAATTAATACCGACATTAAAGATAAAAAAAAAAACATAGCATAGCATAGTTGTTAACTTAATACTTTGGTAATGCGTTTCCGAATCCACTAAGATAATTAAAATATTGTCCAATTGTTTACTATAGATAAAATTTGTTGACCTATTAGTTTACCATAAAATAAATGGGGCGAAATTTATAAATTTAGAAAGTAAAGCGCATTATTAATAATTAATAATGAAATAAAGATACAATATACTTAGAATATTCTTTTTGATGTAGAAAATGAAGGAAATCATTGGAATCGCCTTGCTTCAATTTTGAAAAAATATTTGAAGCCAACGATTGGAGATGCTCTTAGACTAGCTACTTGCTAGCTGCCACATCACATAGATTAACATCATCCCAATGTATATGCCATTATTTGTGATGAATTACAACATGGTTGCTTATAAATTAGAATTTGTTTTAATTTAATATATAGTAACTTGTGGGTGACTTGAACACGATCCAATAAGTCTTATCAGATCCTAACGTTTATATTATTACTAAATTCGGGTGGCTTATAAGACTTTATATAATGATTAAAATAAATTGGGATGTCAATTTTGAACAACTGATGTACTTAATCTTCAGAATCTACAAAGTCTATAAATACCATGTTTGTTATTATGGAGAAGAAGAACACAATACAAAACTCAAATCACATAAATCTACAAATCAATACATTTATTCAAGAAACGATGGCAAGCATATGCGAAGGTACACATACTTCTTAACCATCATTTTGTCATTCAATTCACTTTGGATTTTTTTAGTATAATTACCAAAAAGTATATATAAAATTCGAATAAATTGAATTATACCAAATTGGATATATATAGCTATAATATAGTATAGTATATATATATATATATATATATATTTAATAAAATAATAAATGAACAGATCCAGGAAAAAGCTCATGGCCAGAGCTTTTGGGGACAAAAGGAGAAGATGCAAAAGAAGTGGTCGAAAGAGAGAATCCCAAAATGAAAGCAGTTATTATTTTGGATGGAACAGCTGTTCCTGAGATCTTTATTTGCACTCGCGTTTACGTTTGGGTCAACGATTGTGGAATCGTTGTTCAAATTCCCATCATCGGTTAATTGTAATATATAATTGGTACTATCAAACATTTGTAATGTACTATAAAATATAAATAAGCGTTTATTCGTATTAAAGTGTAATAATGAAGAAATTGTTATGATCTCTGGTTGTTATATATCATGCTATCTCAATATCTCATAAATAAAAATAATGATTATGATTATTTTTTTGTCACCTGTGATTATTTTTTATTTCTAACTAGGATTATTTATCAATGGCTATATTTGTTTTGTAACTATTGTGATGATGGGTCTTTTTTCATTGCTTTACTTACATTTTCAATATATAATTTCTAACAGATAAAATATTGTACATGCAAATACTTTTTCTAAATCGCTGAATAATGAAGAAATAGTGACGAAGTCAATATAATCCATCACAAAGTCGTGAATAACTAATAGAAAGTCAAATCTTTAAAATACAGTATGTCGTCATCAATAACAAGTTTTATACATTTTCGTTTTGCAAACAGTGATGGTCTATAATTATCTTTGTTATAAAATAATTAAATCATATTTTTATATTTTCAATGTAATTTTTTCTTATAAAAGCTTTCTAGTTTTCTGCTTATTCAAAATTATCATCATTCCATTCGAGTTACGGATACACTGAATTGAGATATAAATATAAATATACATTTTTATGTAACCTGAGGAGTATATATATATACATATATATATATATATATATATATATATATATATGAATTACGACCATTATTTGTTTATTTATTTTTCTTTTTTATTAATTAATTAGTTGAACCAGTTTAAGAGACTATGAAAGCCAAATCTGGTATACATTAGATTTCATGATTAGTCTAGGTTCGGCAGATAAAACTAGATATCAAAAGTTGACTTTTTTAAAAAAAGCTCAATAGTTGACTTCAAAATTAACTTAATTAATTTAACAAAAAACAATTAATTTAAGTACTCCATTAATTAAATAGAACATATATAACTAAATGATCAATGGATCATTATATAAAAAACATACAAATCGAGGCATATGCCACAATTCTTTATTACAACATTCACAACAAGCATATCCTTTATCACACTAAATCACACATTAATATTACGTTACATATAAAGATCCATACTAGCCAACGAACGGGGTTTGTGTGACAATGCCATAATCATTGACACGAACATAAACCCTATCACAAATGACAACAGCCAAAACAACTGCATTTTCAGATATAATCTCAGCCGTCACTTTTGTGTTCTCTCTATCGATGATCTCTTTTGCTTCTTCTCCTCTTCTCCCCACCAATTCAGGCCATGAACTCTTCATCCCTTCTCCTGCAGTATCTATACATATACACGAAACATGTATGATCGATTTGTGATAACTATCATGCATGCATGCATATATACATAGAAATAATCAAATAAATACATATCATAATCGTCTCAAACTAATAAACTATATATCTGTAAACTATATGTACAACTTTTTGAATGAAACATATATATTTTTAATGTGTTTAAAATTTTAAATGGAAATTTAGGAATTCCAAAATGTACATATGATTATCAACTATCATGCATATGCTGAATATGTACGTATAAATAAAAATACAATTCTTTTGTTAAACGTATAAATAAATAGCTTTTTTATTAAAACATATAAATATAAGCTCATCACGCTGCATACCCACGTATAAAAAATACATTATTTTTTAGTTAAAAACATATAAGTAAATACTCTTTTTTTTGTTAGAATGTATAAATAAATAGATATCAGAATCCTCTCAAACTATTTGTAATTTATGCAACTTTTTTCTTAAAATATGTGTTAAAAAAATTAATGGAAATTTTAGGAATTCCAAAATATACATATTTTTAAAAAACTATATTACATTTTTAATCAAAAAAAAAACAAATATTACTTCTTTATAAAATTGAAATTTTATTCGAATATAAACTCTATATACATGTTAAAAGATGGTGTACATCTAAAATACCTGGGCATACGTCCGACATTTCAATCCTTCTTTCTTTTTTTCTTTTTTAATTCTCTTTTTCTTCTTTGAGAGGTTATGATTTTTGAATATTGTAAAAGAACCAAATGGCTATTTATAGAGAACTCTTGTGGTGGCTATTCACTTTCTTAAAGATATGTATACATGAAAACGTTGAGAAAGAAGGAGAGATTTAATTTGTACGTTTTTGACCCAACATAATATTGTTTTCAAAATTTTCAATTATATATTGTCAACATTTTCACCTCCTTTAGATTTTATACGTACATCAGAGATAGATAAGGATATGTGACACACATGCAAATGTGTAAACAATAAGGTGGCTCTAAAATATATTATGTGTGTAATGTTTAATCGAGCAAGTCGTGGGTGGTTTAATTACGGACTTACGGTACGTAGACCGTAGGCTCTCGTGAACTAAAGCGTATATTTCTGAAATTGGTGGCCATTTTACGTAAGAAGATATTTTCCATAATTTATAAATTTTCTTCCACACAATTTCTCTTTTAGACTTTTAGTTTTATTTTTTTTATATACAAATCATGATCTTTTTCCGTCATGAAGTCTTTCATCTAAAAATAGGTGTTTGCTGGCGTATATATCTATGTCATATGTATATCTTCTTCCTTTTGACGACCCAAAAAAAAAAAAATCTTCTTGCTTTTATTTTTGTTCCGTTTATATTTGATTAGTTCAAGTTGACTTTGTTTGTAATAGTTCTATCCACAAACGTATTCGCATTTGCATTCACACATTAAATACTCCAAGTGAAAATAAAAGCTTAATTTGATGATCAATTAACTTTAAAAATTCTTATTATTAAATAAAAAAAACTATAGAGAAAAAAAAATTCATTAGAAACGAAGAGGACGAAAACTCTGAGGACGAAAACTCTCTTTACACAAATGTTTTTTGCTTTCCATCTTTATATAATAAACATTACAATGCAATGCCACTCCTTTAACCCAAACCTCAGTGTCCGTTCGATGGCCTGAAGTCCCTATAGCCGTTGATTCCTGACAAGTTCGGGTTTGATGAATCTAAATCAAAGTAAGAGTAAGTAGCTGATGCTGATGCTGATGCATCGTCTTGGTTCCTCATAGCCCGTAAAGACATGTCCATATTTGCCATCTGCCATTGCGATTGTGTTTGTCCATTACCATATGGCGAAGAAGAAGCAGAAGAATGTGGCATGTATTCACCGTAAGACTGGTGAAAACCATCATCACTGTAACTCCTGGACCTGTCAGAGATCCCGAGATCAGCACCGCTATGATATGAGTACTGGTTGTTGAACTGTTGTGGTACATGGTATACACTATTGTCCGTTGAAACATGTTCGTCTTCAAGCAGATCATTGATGATATCAAGGTGAGGGAACTCATCGGTCATCAGACTCTGTGCCGTTCTACCATTCTGAACATTGGTAGGCCTGATGCTGGTAGTTACCACGGGTGTGCTGTAAGTGTTCGTTTTATGATTCCCGCTGATGGTTGTTGTTGTATCTCTGTTTGAACTCGAACCACCGGTCCACAAGAGTCCACCAGAAGAAACATCCCAAGAGCCAACATTGATAGGGAAACCAGACTGATTTGATACTGAGATAGGAGACGGATGTGAATACGGCGGCAATGTGCTTGTTCCCGTTGATTGAGTGCTTGAGTGGGTGAAACCAGATGAACCCACTATGGCATGTTTATAGGATTGAGGATTGTAAGCTTGGCTATGTATCGGTGAACCTAAACGGCCTGTTGAGCTCATTGAACGAGCAAGGGACGCAGCCGAGGTTGTTTGAACAGCAGATATTACAGGTGCAGCTTGCTTTGGGGGGATTATAGGAGCACTCAAAGGCCTTGAGATAGAAGGTGCTGGTTGTGCCATCGGTTTTGGAGAAGCGGTTTTCTGTATATCAGCTCTAAGACCCACAGTTTGCAACTTAGTCTCACGAGATGGTGATGCTTGATCTGATGAAGGTGATCTAGTAGATGCTACTTTCCTGTTTGGAACCGCATCTACATTTGAAACAACCGTTTTCTCCGGTTTTGCTTGCACTAGAGATGGAGGATTCCAAGGAGCAGCTCTGGATGGGGAAAGTACCGCTGCAGTTTTCTCTTTCATCTGAATCATGTTGGGATCCTGCAAAATAAGATATAGTCATTCAATGTTGATAAGCATATCACTCTAAAATGGATTAATGGTAAACCAAAACGACTTCTTGAATTCGTTTACGAAACCAAGAATCCAATCAAGACTTCCCTCTTTACATATATATCTTCCAATTTCCAACATTGCAACTATAAAAGTACGAGTGAACCACACCTTGCTAACAGGACTACGTTCCCCAGGGCTCTCTGGTTTTTGAATGTGGGAGATAACCGCGTCAGCGTCACCAACTCTGCGTTTCTCAGAAGAATGGCTCTGATTCTTAGGGTCAGACGCAAGTCTTGAAGGTTGATCCTCTTTTTCACTGGCTAAACTGCTGGCATCAGATACTTTTCCTGGTTGTGTTTTTCCACTGCACATCACAAGGTATGTTAACAGGATGTGGAACAAACAGATAAAGTAAAGGACGCTGCAAAAAAAAAAAAAAGGTTTACTTACTTGATATGCCACTTCTGGCTTTGGCAATTTACTAAATTCCCTTTGTATGACCCATTGGCTACCCCTGAACGGATCGAGTCATTAGAACAGGTTGAAGAACTATCATCCATTGTGGACAGACCCTTTCTTTCTGCAACTCCATTAGGTATACATAAGGAATTTCCTCTTCCTCTGCTAGTGTCTCCTGAAGGAGGAGGATGAATCTCTGAGGCATCTATTTCCCAATGAACAGGACTACTCTCTCTATCTTCTGAATCAAGGTGAAGTATTTCAGCTGAACTATCTACTGAATCAGAAACGTCAGAGACATCTTCAAGTGTGTCAGGTTTTTCAGCTGACGATTCTGCTTTCGCTCTCACACATTCCTCTTTCTCAATATCCCTTTCTTCTGTTTGGGTTTTCACCTTCTCTTCTTTCTTTTTTTCCTTTCCTTTATTTTTGTTCTTTTTCTGTTTCGCCTATGAGTTCCAAACAATCAAGAATCTCCATTAGGCACCCCAACAAGTTGGTCACGGCATTATTTATTTTGGTAGTAACAGAAGTGTAAGGAAGGACCTGTTTCTTCTTAGATTTCTTCTCTTTTTCGGATGGTCCTCTTTTGGCCTTCTGTTCGCTTTCTGCCAGCCATGCTTCCTCCTCTTCACGAATAAGTTCTTCTTGCCGTTTCCATGCAATAGCTTCTTGGTATGCAACTTCAATTTTGTTGCTGCATTTCTCAGAAAGATTGCAGTGCTATACATGAGGTACAGCTAAGAACACAAAGACACACAATACCAACAGACCAGAAATAGAAAACAAACACTATCAGCGGTTTCAAATAAGATCTTCACGCATGTCTAATCTTGTAAACAAAGTATGTGCTTATGATTGATTTGATGGAAAGTTTAAAGCCAAGGAAAAATTATGCCTTATTACCTGAAGATATGTGCAAGAACAAATATCTCCACAGTCCGTCTACCCAACTCAGTTAAACGCCTCTCATCACGCTCAATGGCTTCTCTACTGAATTCCTCTCCCGCATTCCCATCCTAGATTCGGATGGAATAATTAAAAAAAAAAGTTATACACGTAACATCAAGTCGATATGGAGACAAGTGCTCATGTTTCAAGCATTTTTACATGGATAACAAAAAGTCAAGATTCACCACCGCACATGATAGCAAATCATGAACTTCAATCAATACAATAGAATACCATATGAAACTAACCTTCGTACGGTTTTGGGGACTTTTTTCCTCTTTTGTAGGCAATGGCTCCAGAGCAGCCCTCTCTAAGAGTAATAACACATCATCAACTAATGCAAACGTATCTTTGTCCACACTAACAATTGGAGCTGGCAATTCTTCAGTATCCATTAGTCTCGGCCTAGTTTTCTTGTTCTTAATTTGGCCTTCAAGAGCCTTCAACCCACTATACAAGGAATCCATCACCAAAGTAGACGTAACTTCCTTCTCGATGAAGAATTGTTTTACAACTATTTTTAGAATCACATCCATTTTCTCTCGGGACATTCGACGCCTTGAATTTTGGTCCAACCCCATCCAGAAAGCACAGAAGCTGCACCAAGAAATAACAATCACTTCCTTATCATGCGAACAGCTCAAACTTCGAAGGAAGAATAACAAGAAATAAGAAAGGAAAAGTACTACACTAGTGGGATCAATCCCGGCCTCTACAGCTATTTGTGATTTAATTTCTGGAACTTGGAGGAGACGAGTGTAAATGTAGAATACCTTTTCCATTTTGCCTTGTCCTCTATCAACCTACCAAGCTTGCTTCTTTTCTCTTCCACAAACCGCCAGCAAATTTGCTCTACATTTGTCAAATACACCCGAACAAGTTCCTCCCTATACTTATAATGAAGGCAGCGAAAAGGTCGGTCCACCCTCTCTCTGCAAGAATCAATTTACAGAATTATCCACAATGCAACAAAAAAAAAATATAAAAAAAACAAACCAAAGTTTTATTGCAATGTGTATATGGTCAGGAAAGTTTTTAAACACGTGTGGACTGACAAATGATGACTTTAGGTAAACTCAATCTATTCTTGCATTTACCTGATCACCTGGACTTGAGCCTTAATTGTAAGACAATCATAATCATCTATGAACCCTTCCTTTAATTTAGGTGACTCAATAAACTTTTTCCATCCCCAATCATGCTCTTTCTTCCAAAACCGGTGTAATGTATCTACAAGAAAACCCCGTTCAGTTTGACTGCGTAAACGGGATATAAGGAAATTAAAAACTGCAAAAGGTAACCTGAGTGCTTTGATTTCTTTGGATCTTTATTCGACACAGCTATAGTAAACTGAGCAAAATGACTCCAGCCTGTCAAAACCTAAATGATAAGGTTTCGGGGTTCGAGAGTGTGAAGCTAAATGGACAAAAATACTCACCTGGAAGAAGTTTTTCATGGTGTGCAACACAGAGAAACAAAGAGAGATGGTTGCAAACATCACACCCTTGTGGATAAATTAATATATACCTACCACAAGAAGAATATGGAACATTTTGTAAAATATTTTAGGAAAAGTACGCAACAGGGTTTATTATTATGTCATTTTACCATTTGTAGCCCCCAACTTCAAAAACATCGCCACGGAGCTCCCGTTTGTTGATTTCTGAAAATTTCTCAATCGTCCAAGTATTTTTCCCAAATAGTTCAGATGGTTTTGATCCTAGGAATACAAAAATATCAAACATTTTGAAGAATGAGGAGACACGGCTCGTTTTGTAAAAAGTAAACATTGCAAACACATACCAAAATCGTCATCATCATCATCGATGTCCCAATACGGTGGCGATGTTGAAGGAGTTCCATTCTCCACTTGATCAGACGACCGCCACTCGGCGAGTACTTCTTCTGATTGACTTCTTTGTCCATTTAAATTCTCATCAACTGATGATCTTCCTGCTCCACAATCTTCATTAGTACTCTCAGACATTCCCTTGAATCTTCTACCTCTCTCTTTCAAACTACCAAAATTATGATTCAGCATAATTAATTAGTTCCTAAATTCGACACAAACATCATCGAATACATCGACGAACAAGCTCGAAAATATTTTCCCGATTTACGAATTATCAAAACCAAGAATTATAGAAAACTGTTTAAATCAAATCTAAATCACAGTCACAGCTCAAAAAACATAATCTTCTAAATCAATCACTCAATTCATGATTCAAATCAATACACCAAAAACCTCAAATCAGATAAGAATTGAGAATAAACCCTAAAAAAAACAATATTAGAAACTAGAAGAAACAAAAATGCAAGAGAACCAAAATTATTCTATTCAATCAATTGAATTACAAGGAATTTACGAATAAAAACATCGAAAATATTCGATAAACATCAGAAGAAATCAGCGATCGGAGAATAAAAAAAAACGGCACTAAATTGAAATCGGAAAAACTAAAGAAAGAAAGATTGAAGGAGAGGTGTAAACGACGCCGTGTAGATCGAAGCAAACCTGGAGATGGTTGAAGAAAAAGCTTCAAAATCGTTAGAATGAGATTTTAATGGAAGCTCGCTCTCTTCAAGATTCTAGAGAGAACAAAAAAAAAAAAAAAGAGACGGAAGAGAGAGAAATGGAGAGGTCGTAAGGAAGAAGAAAAACACAGCGAAACAGAGAGAACAAAATTAACCTTAGATAATTAGTTTATTAGTTAGTTTCATGACATATATTTAACGTTCATGTTTTTTTATTTCTGGTCTGTTTTTTTTTGTATTACAAGAGAAAGAGATGAAATCAAAATGGTAATAAGCAAACTATTTAGTATGTCTTTTCTTTTCATTTATTAGTTTAATTTATATTTTCATATTGGTGGACGTTTTCATTTAACCAAACGAAAGATATATTAAATTTTTATTTAAAATAGAATAGTTTATATATATATATAAAAAAATTCATGCGAAATTATTTTATATTAAAAGTATCTAGAAATAAATAAACAAGATTATTACCTAACGAAAAAATACTATTTTAAAAAAATATATACGTAAATTAAGCGGGAAATTATTTGTATAATTAAAAGTATATAATGGAATAAACAAACAAATTTATGTAAATCATACATTTTACTTAAACAATAATTTCCCGCAATAATTACTTAAACAATAATTTATGTAAATCATACGTTTTACTTGAGAAAAAACAATTGTCCTTATTGAAAAATTATATATGTAAATGACACAAGAAAATATTTTATATATTAAAAGTATTTAATGAAATCAATGAACGAGATATTAACGTTGTACTTAAAGCAAAGTTTACATTTTGGAAATATCTATATAAATCAAGCGGAAAAATTATTTTTTATAATAAAAGTGTCAAACGGAATAAACAAACGAGATTCATGTTTTACTTAAGAAAAAACAGTAATTATCTTTTAAAAACTTCCACGTAAACCATGCGGAGAAATATTTTATACTAAAAATATCTAACGGGAGAAACGAACAAGGTATTAACGTTTCACTTAAGAAAAAACAACTGTTACATTTTTAAAAAATCTTAATAAATTAGGCGGAAAGTTATTTTCTATTTCAAAAGTATCTTACATAATAAACAAACGAGATTCAAGTTTTACTTAGGAATAAAAATTGTTATCTCTTAAAAACATTCCACGTAAATCATGCGGAGAAATATTTTATATACTAAAAGTATCTAACGGAATAAACGAACAAGTTATTAACATTTCACTTAAGAAAAATAATTGTTATTTGTTTGAAAAATCTATATAAATCAAGCGGGAATAAATTTCAAAAGTATCTAACGGAATAAACAAACGAGATTCACGTTCTACTTAAGAAAAAACAATCGTTGCCTTTTTCAAAAATTCCACGTAAATCATACGGGAAATTATTATATACATTAAAAGTTTCTAACGGAATAAATGAACGAGATGTTAATGCTTCACTTTAGAAAAACAATTGTTAATTTTAAAAATAATTTTACATATATCAAAGAAGAAATTATTTTCTATTTTAAAAGTATCTAACAGAGTAAACAAACGAGATTCGCATTTTACTTAAGAAAAAAAATCAATCGTTGAAAGAATAATTGTGAATAGGAAAGTAATTAGATATTTGAAAAATAAGTGATACAAAAAAATATAGGAAATTTGATATGTCAATTAATTATGAATTGCATCTAAGTTTAGCTATTGTTGTTTTTAAAAGTTACATTTTTTCTAACGTCTATTACATCATTATTAGATATATTTGATTTAATCCTATGATGATGATATTAAATTACATGCAGTATATTCATTTATGATATTCAACTACCTGGAGTTTAGAGGTATCTTTATATCAAGGTAATGTGCTTTTCAATTTTAGTGCTCTTTAACTTAGCTACACACATTAACTAATATATTTAAATATGTACATAAGGAAAAAATCAAATTTTCTTTTTTAGTTTAAGTATATAAAGGCATAGTCGCTTGAAATTGAAGATATCAAAGTTCAAATTGAATTATTATAGACTTTAAAACTAAAAAATTGAAATATATTTGTTGACACATGTAAAATTCTTTTATCTTTTTTTGACAAATATTACAATTTACTGACTTTTCCATCCATATTAAACATAATTTTTTGTTTATAAACATATTTTTCACACTTGTCAAAATTCTTATCTATTTTAAAATGTTTGTTATGTGAAAAAATATTTTTGACACATATTGAATATATTTTAGGAAACTAATATATTTAAGGAAAAAATCAAAAAAAAAAAAATTAGTTAAAGTAAATAAAGTCATACTCGCTTGGATTTGAAGATACCAAAGTTAAAATTGGATCATTATGGACTTTAAAACTAGAAACTGAAATATATATGTTGATACATGTAAAATTCTTATATCTTTCCAAACATATGTTGACTATCCATATTAAACAAAAATTTGTTGTTTATAAGAATATTTTTGACAAGGGGTAAAATTTTATTTCTTTTAAAAGTTTGTGGTGCGAAAAAATATTTTTAACACATATTGAAATCTAATCGATTAGCTAACAAATATTTTAATTGTTAATAATTTTTCTGCTTTATGTCAGATCAAACTTTAAATAATATGGTTTATTCTAAATCTCACTTGCAATTTTATTTGTAGATAGTATTTTCTCCTAAGAGGGCCAGCCAATCCACACTTTCTAAAAGTTACAACGATAATCTTCGACTTTGGGATTTTTTAAGCTACTTCGTAAGAGTTATAAAAAGAGCGTAACACATGGAAGAAGTACGGTGCGAATAAAGCTTTCCTTTTTGGCTTCTATATAGAGAATTTGGAAATCCCGCAATAACTGATTTTCAATCAACATCAATGAAAATATTCAGATATGATCATGAACGTTCAAGATGATGCTCTATCCTCTATAATGGGTTGTCAGTCACGACAACGGAGCACATCTGCTTGATATCCACCTCCAATAGGATAGTTCAAATGCAATTATCACGCGAGTTTTCAAGACGCTAGTGAACATATCAGATCGGGATGGATAGGAATTCTTAAAGTGTTTTCGTTTCTGCTACAACCACATCTCTAAAGAGTTGTAATAACCCTCAGAAAATGATTCAGTCTTGTTCATGATTCGTAGTAGACAATATGGGTTCAAAGATACAAATGTATCATAATGGAAGTACACTCTATAAACAACTAGTAAATTTAATTAACAATTGAAAGCAGGACACTAGCAACTCAAACTTGATTCAAGATATACGTATATCATTGGATATCAAATCAAGATAAAATCGCATAGCCAACAAATTGGCTCGAATAGAACATATACAATAATATCATTGTATTATATATAATTATTCTCCTTGATGTATCCACTGATTGATGTTTCAAGACTATGTCCAAGCACTTTAAAATTAAAAAAATTTAGACATTCAGATAAATAAAATAAAATATATAATTAAGGAAATACAGAAAAAAGATATAAAAGTAACAAATACTTCCTCCGTTTCGAATACATGCGTCTAAAAAATTTACACGCAAATTAGAAAAACAATTAAATATTTTGTTTTACCTTTCATTGATATATTCGGAGTATAATTTTTATCATTAGCCAAGAGATTAAAACAGTAAGGATAAACATAGAATTTTTACCAAACATCTACAGTAAAAACTTAAAACGGCATTTATTATAAAACAAATTTTATGTTATAAACGATAATTAAAACGAAACGGAGAGAATAATAGATTCGAGGGATTTGAAAGCAAATAACTTGAAATTGAAAGATGTGAATTTTAAATCATTAAATGGGATAAGCCGTTCCGTAACCCATTATGATTATAAGCCCATCTAAAGAAATGCCGTATTTGCGTTGACTATTCAATCTGATTAAAAATATTAATTTACAGAGTCATTAAAATTTGGTAAACTTGAAGTTTAGATTTGGTGATGACTACTATGTTACGTTTAGATTGAAGTTTTGATTTAGATTGCAGAAACTGTGGGAGCTTCTAATTCGAGAATCCAAACAGCTAAAAGGGGTCCATGAACAAGTAACCAAACTACAAAAGGATTTGAGTTATTGTTAGAAATACATAAGATTCTCAATGTGACCGGGAAAGCACAAAATCCTAGGAGCATTAAGCTCATAATCCGCGATTCCATCAATCTCAACCTCAATTCTTCTGATGATACTATCTCTTATCATATCGAAATAGTAAACAAAAAAATGCTTAGATGACTTTAAGCATCTAGAAACCATTACAACCTCGTTGGTATGACTCTCTCCACTGCACAAAGATATCTCCTTGTCACAAGGCACAACACAAGTCATGATGCTTGACCATTCTTGTTTCTCAGCATCTTGTAGAATCCATAGACGCATATTAGATTCACAATATGAATCATAGCTTACACATGCTAATTTACCTTTGTAATTTGTAAGTGTTGAATAACATGAGATTGCGTTATAGTCTTCGGGTCCTTGAATAAACTTAATCTTCTCGTATCTAAGATCAAATCTAGCTATCTTTGTATGTCCAACCCCATAGTATATAGCACCATCTATGCAAATCCCGCCTTCTAAATAGGCGTAAGGATCTCCCGTGATCTCGATCTTTCTCCACCAATTTGAGTGTGATGTTAGTGATAAAACCAGATGCTGTTGTTTGACATATTTTCTATGGACGTCACAACTAACTAACATCATCACACAACACTTTGTATTGATTATCTACCGGATCGTACCCGAGACGTGCGTAGATGTCTCTTCCGTTGGCTTTAACATGGGGCAATATCAACAAAAATCCAGTGGTGGGATTAAAAACCGCGATCCTAGAACCACGCATGCAGCATACGAATCCGTTAACAGGGGGACATGTGATGTTGAAGCTAGGATCCGAGATCGTCATGATGTCGTGTCTCGCGATAACTATGGAGGATTTTTCGTTGTTTTGATGTTCAGATGCTGAGAAGAAGAAACTCTTCCGGGAATCCAAGTCCTTGAATGTGAAAAGGAGACGAGGCCGAGTCTTTGACTGTGTTAAGAACGAGTCTTTCAAATCTTTACTGCTAATGATAGACAACCAGAGCTTCGACACGGATTTGAATCGGATAAGGGATTTCGCAGGAAGTCTCGAGAGTATCTGGAAGATAATTGTTGTTGTGGAGTTTTTGGTGTGATCTAGGTTACGTGAGGGAGACGTTTGTGAACTTTCCATGGCTTCTTGTTTGTGATGAAACCTAGAACAATAAAGCACACCGATCCTATATAAAAGATGAACGTATCTCGTGAGAGCTCTGACAATTTTAAGTTTTACAATTTATTAATGGTTAAATAAAATGAAAATTTTCTATTTTACAATATTTTCTAAAATATGACAAAGTGGCAATATATATAAAATGATAAAATATATGCAAACGAAGGCGTTATAGTTTTCAACTATTATGGAAAGACCAATAAAATGTAAATTTTATATAAAAGGAAATAGCTGGTGGTATTACAAAATATAACTTTTTGTGATCCTTAAATAACGTGTTTTTAATAAGGTCGTCTTTGATTTGGTGGTTGTTTAAGGATTTATTGAAAATGTTGTTGTTCTGTGATAAAACCTAATCAACTTGTCTTTTAATTTACGGGTCTTTTCAATGGTGATATATAGGGCTGACAATAAAGATTAATTTCAAATCTTTTCTAGGCTTCGAAGTGTATGAGGATGGTGGAAGAAGTTTAGCTTTTGAATTTCAATGAATTTGATGCATTATTTATCTTGTCAAATAAGTCCAGATCCGCCTCTGAATATGTTTAGTAGCACGAGAGGCTAATAGTATAAAATGCTTGTTTCTACGGGTATACAAATGTTGCCTTACAAATGCTGAAATATCTTACAGGAGGATGTCTACATATCCCCCCCCCCCCGGACGAACTTTCATTTGGCCATGAGAAGTGCCGCTGTGGTTCTCTACCCTCTTTCGCAATCAAGAATGGCAGGTTGCTTTTACAATGCAAGCAGAAGCAGAATAAATGCCGAGATGTCGTGTGGTCAGGGAAAGACGATATTTATTTTCGGAATTCGTGTGTCCGAACTGTAACATACCAACAAGCCTGCAGCTTAGTAAGACAATAAAAAATCCTGGCAAACTCTTCTATAGCTGTTCCAAGTGCAATTACTTCAGATGGTGGCATAGACCCTTGCACAGGATGAGTAATGAGGAGGATAGAGTCCTCAACGACGGTGCAAGTTCGTCTGCTTCATCCTCTGCTTCTGCGAGCTCGTCTTCCACAAGTTCCCTCGCACTTGTTGGAGAAGTGTTGTGTACTCTGGGAGAGATGATGAAGAGATTAGGTTTGGAACAAAATTAGAAAGAACCCACTGTAATAGTCAATGTTTGTTTGTTGTTCACTAGAATGTCTACTTCTGTGCCATAAACTGTTTTGGCAATTTCTGGGTTTGGATTTGCAACTTTGCTCTCTTCGATTTCAATGATAATCTCTTAAGAATTAAAATGTTTACATTTTTTAAGACAAGTAGTGCTTCAATGCATGTCGTTAATTTTTTTGTTGATCTAATCTTAAGAAATCTTTGAGGAAATTATTTTTTGAGAAAATTTTCATTAAAAAAAATATATATTTTTGAAAATATGTGTTATTTATTTAGCAAAAAAAAAAATATGTGTTATTTGCGAGGTTCAGCGGCAAATGAAAAGACACTCTTCATCGGTGACAAGTGATCCGTTTCGAGATTTGTTTGTCAGGCGTGTCTCTCTCTCTCAGACAATCGTTTCGTCTTCGCCAGGTGCCTCTCTCTCACTCACTCAATTTCTTTCCGTCTTTCGTTCCTGCACCGCTTAGGGTAAAACAACAGCGAGCTTCCGTTGTTGTATTTAACGCTTAGGTCATTTAAGATATTTCAGCATTTGTAAGGCAACATTTGTATACCCGTAGAAACAAGCATTTTATACTATTAGCCTCTCGTGCTACTAAACATGTTTTAAGTCTATTAGAAAACCTAGTAAATGACCTATTCGACGACTAAACTCACTCTACCTAGATTAGTCGGATGGTAAAAATTTGGATCACCTGAACTTATGAAAGCAAAATTAGTTTAGAGTTTCATTTCATATTTAACAATTTAAAAAAAGAAAATACAAATTTTTAAATCTGACACAAGAATAATACATAGACATTACCACTGTGACCGATGTTTGGAAACTGGAAACTGTGCTTTAAGACTACTATGAATCTTAATAACAATGAAAAACATATTAAGTGTACCTAACATAAACTAAAAGTGGTATAGTAATAAAAACATATCATCAATCCGTCATGTAAACTAACAATAAGAATTAGAATATACACAGCATATATCTATAAACAAACATAACAAGTATATGTTCAATTTGAAGCTATTTTCGTCACATTCCTACCGCTTATCGTCTATACCGACTATATAGGGACAAAACTTAATCCATCGCTCCGTTTGCCGCAGATAGAAAATTGTCACAATGACATCAAAATGGTTGCAATGAAGAATACTCGTCGATGCTAACCACTGCAAAATCGTCGCTGTAAAAAGATGTCTTAGCGTTTACATATGTTGCAACTATTGCAATGGCTGAGTGGCAACAAGATCCTTCGCCATATCTCGTCGTAAGCATGCCACAAAATGTGCAATGGATTGTGGTGAAGATTGCAATTACTAATTGGCGATGACATTATTCGTCCCAAAAACATGGCTATATTCTTAAACAGATTCGGAGTAATTATGAGTTTTTAGAAAATCTAATTTATAATTAATATTTATGAACTATATATAAAATAAAGTAAAATTTAAATAGATAAATATAAATAGAGTATGTCATATTGTCATGTAACAAAAATGATTATATTTTTCTTTTCAAAAAAAAATATATATACTAAAGCTAACCTAGATCCGTATTTTATGTGGCCATCTCCTCCCAAGCTAAGAACATCTCCCAAATCGAACTTCCTACGATCCCAAGCCATCGCCTTTTCTTCCTCACGTCGAGCTCTTAGCAAAGCCGCAAACGATAGGTTCTACCCACCCCACCATTAGTCGATGTAAGCCGCATCTTTGCATCTACTTTCACATCCGGATGTGGTGTTGGAGGACCAATGGATTTAATTGTTATTTCGATTAATTTATTCCAAAGTTTGCAAAATGTTGTCACTTTTAAATTAAATTTTGCATTTTAACACTATATATAAGTTCTCACAAGATGCGATGATCTTGACAAATTATGGGATAGATTTGACTATTTTTATGAAAAAAACTATAATGAAAATAATATGAAATAAGATTAAAGATGTATTTATATCTCATAGATAGATATCACAAAACATGCATAAATAAATACCCACCCAAAAATATCTTACCTTGACATATTAAAGCCTCATATACGCCCTCCTAGATTTTATATATATATCATCCTCGAAAACCATATAATAAACGCCAAAAACGTATTATACATCTATAAATGTGTAAGAAGTTGATGATCATAAGCCAAGACGCAGCTCCAAATCGATTTCATCTCCTTCAACGACGACGTTTTCTCTCCTTGTGACCATCGAGCCGATTCGTAAGTGTTGGATGTAGTTCGAGGTCGTCGTCCTCAACACGACGGAGTCTACTTGCTCGTAGCCTCCACGATCAGACGCCACGTGGAAACATCTATGAGTTTGTGAGAGTGCCACGTCAGCATCGTTTTGCACCTTGGCCTTGTTGAGACGGTCACGTCGATGGATGTTCATGTGACCACCTAAAGCTTGTGCGTTCGTGAAACCTCTTTTGCAGAAAGTGCACTCGTACATTCGTCTCGTCACGGTGGAGACTGACGACGACGCGGTACGACGGTGCCTGACGGCTCCGGTTTCTGATGACGTGGACGAAGATGATCTCTCAATCTCCATATATTTATATATGTTGCCTCGATCGATCGAGAGATATTGTTAGGAAATGTTGAAACCCTAAAAATAGGACTTTGTAGGAAGATGAAAGATGAAAGAGTTGTCAAATGAGTAGGCACATATAAGGATAGTTTTTATGATAAGAGTCATAGAGAAATAAGACTGATTATACTTTTGTTGTTGTGTGTTTATATGTTTGGAAGATATGATTTGGCTTTTTCTTTCATGGTATATTTATGTATCAATTTTTTTACATAATTATCACCGTATTTGAAGGATTTGTTTTTTGTTCTCATGTATTATTTATAGCTATATTATAAATGTGGCCTATGATTAATTATTAACTTGCTAATAATAGAAGGTTTATAATTTAAGAAGCAAAGCAAAATTATACCACTAGCAATTAGTATTTTTTTTTTGTCGACGAGTTTTGTTTTGTTTTGTTTGTATCATCAATTTTAGAAGGTATTGCTAGCTCCTCAGAATTTACGTTTTGGCCATGTTATAATTTAATTCTGGTATCCTCGTTGATTCTCTAGTAAATCAGTGATAAACTTTTGTTAGTAGTGATTTCACAATTATCTTGAACTTTTATATTTTTGTTTCCAATATCTATACTATTAATTGGGAAGCACTAAAAAATAAATAACCTTATAAAGTGTAAAGTATTACAAAAATGCCATTGTTTTTTGTTTTTAAATAATATATTTAAATAAAAAATAGTAAAATTCTTTAAAGTAATTATTAGTTTCCAAAAAATTAAACTCACTTTCTCTCTCATATTAATTATGGACGAAAATTAAAAAAAAAATTCTAAAAAGTTGTTAACCAATGAGAATTGAAAAAATAGGATTTGATATCCAACTAAAATTTTATCTAAACCAATCCTAATAAACTATTCTATATCAAAAATAAAAAGAAAAATAATACCATTTTAATTCAAAATAAAAAACACTATCGTTTAAAAAGTTTTATCAATGGAGGATTTTAATATTGAATTTGAAATTTCGTAAAAAAATTCAATACAAATATTTATGACTCAGTTTTGTTATAATATTTTCACAAATTTTGAGATATAAAATAAAATTTTATTTCACAATTTCTAAAAACCGATATTAGATATTAACAAATATTTATATTTACTATGAAATAAACTCAAATAATGATAAATTTAAAGTAATTATCGTTATGGCCTTCGTTTAGAGAAAGTTTCGGAAATATCTAAACAAAAGATTGTACATGTTAATTTCGAAATATTTTGTGTTTTTTTTTCTTCTCAAGCTGATCTTCCTTAAACAAATCCATAATATATTGCACACAGTGTTCAAAATAATGTGAACTAATTATATATTTTGCATTCAAAACAAATTATGCAGCAATAGCATATCCCTTTTATAGATGTATCTCAAATTTTAATTTTAGTCCCAAAAATCGAATTAATTATGATTAAACAATGTAAAGAAAAATATGCAAAATTTAGCTAGAAACATTAATACATTTGTTTAAATATATTTGTAACTTTAACAGTATACATATTAATCCGCAAAACTCACAATATATATTGTAATATTGTTTGGTATTTAAAAGTAAGCAAACAAGAATTTGGAATATGATTTTAATGAAATAAAATGGAAATAGAAATTACGAGACGAGATGGGAGGGGAATATATATTAAAAATCAAACTAAATACCCAACTGGCATGAGTTCGGGTTATGAGCACTATATAAAATAAATTTATTTACACACGTAACCCTGTACATACGTTTTCAGTTACACATGTAACCATGTACATACGTTTTCAGTTACACATACTCTATTTATGACAGATATGGGACCATAATATTTTTATTTACGTATACGTGACAGATTATGGGACAAAGAATTTATGACAGATACCGGACGGGATATTTTCATGTTCCAAAATAGTTACGCCTAGCTAATATATATGAAATAACCCAAACTAAAACCGAATTCATATCCTATTTAACATATGTAATTAAACTGTTAGAACTGTTTTGATTAGTTAAGAAAACAAAAATGTAACACCACTTAACTTTTGCAACTAAATTAGTCCGGATCTTAAAATATAATTATGCATTAACGCAACTGAATTTTGTTCATTACTCTAACTTTATAATATTTATACTATTACGAAGTTCATTAACACAACAAATATTTTATATTTTTAAAATCTCTATAAAAATTTCTATAAAAATATCTCTACACGTATGTGGATCCAGATCTAATACACTAAAATATATATCATAAAAAGTTAAAAACAACAAAATAATCTATAATGAATTAAAATTTGTTAAAAAAATTTTAAAATATGAAACCCCGCACGTATGTGCGGGTCATGATCTAGTGTAGACTTAAATTATAAAATTTGATTTTATATCAGTGAAACAATATTTACTTTCGTCTTTAGTAGTTTTGTTTACAATACTCGTATATAAACACAAAGTAACGAACATAAAAAATAGATGGAAAGAGACATAACAAAAGATTTGATTATAACTCACATAAAAACAACCCGCACATTAATCCAGTTAACTGAAATCCAAATCAACTTCAACTAAACTCTTCAATTAGTCCACAAAATTACAAGAAATGATGACAATTAAAAGGCAAGGGAGTGGTTTAAATCAATCGTGTTCGTTTTAAAATTTCTAAACATCCCTTTTGTGTTTGTCTTGTAATAATCTAACCTCTTATCGCAAAATATTTTTAAAAGTTAGGTCTCGACTGACTGCATACTTTTCTCTACTACAAAATATCACAACGATCACAATTTTTACCAAAACAAAAAAAAAAATTGATATAAAACGCATTATCATAATTTTCGAAAATTTATCAAAGAGATAAAGATAACATAAAAATGTAGAATACTTAACTAAACTTTAGTTTATGGGCCAAATATAAATTTTAGCTTAGTTGATCATAAATAGTACTTCTTGAATATTATACAGCTCGACAATATTTGATAGCAACTCGAGTACATTGATTCGTTTAATTACTGCCACATCATTGATTGATTACGTTACTTGTACACCTAATCCTGTTTGTTTGGGTTTGGTCTGCTTTTCTTTTTTAGTTATTAACTATATAATCTACTTCTACAAGAAGAAGCCAAAAGCACCAGTGGTCTAGTGGCATGATAGTACCCTGCCACGGTACAGACCCGGGTTCAATTCCCGGCTGGTGCATATTTTTCTCATTTTAATGTTTTTTTTTGTTTTTATACATTACGATTCCCGGCTGGATGCATGTAATCGAGACTATGAACGGTCTATATAATTTGGTCGCAACTTGCAAATATAATTTTTTATACACTAGTACTTTTTTTACTCATGACTAGATTCATCGGATAGAAGAAAATCGAAAAAACCTAACATATTTGTTAATTAGCTTAATGTAACTATCATACTCAATACAATATTTACACACAACTCCGTATTTTAATTTAGATACTTTTTTTTTTTTGGTAAACATCGTATTTGACATACTTGTTACGGAACAAAGTCATTAGAATCTTGTTTGGGGAAGTGCCCGGTTCGAACCTTAGGGAGGGGCCTATTTAGGTTCCGATGGGAAAGACTTATGAGCATCGACCCAAAACTCCTTGATCAACCATTATTAAAAAAACATTAGAATCTGCAAAATTATTATGAACCCTACTGTGTTCAATGATGTTATAGGAAAAGGATGGTAATAACTGATAAATCAATGACACGTGGACGGTGGTAATTGAAGATTAAGCAATGGTCAAGATCTTTTGAAGATTAAGAACAGAAGAAAATGAGGTTAATAAGAAGCTGAAGACGCTTTATTCATTCATTATGCTAAAATCTGAGATTGTATCTTCTACTTCACTTGGTTCTCTGTTTGTTCTTGAGAATTCTCTGTAATTCTCAAGCTATTCCTCATTGTTGCTGGAGCTTTCTCGTTTTGAGACTCTTGCTTATGAGAAGCGAATCGATGTTTTATGAACATAGGTTCGATTATCTTTAAAAATGGTTTGTGTTTGAATTAGATACAGTTTTCCTGTATCAAATGACGATGCCCAGCTTAGTAGTTTGACCCACTGACCTAAACCAATGAAGCTGCTTCTTTAACTGGTTCGGACTTGGTTTTTGTCTGTTTTACTGATTGTATACTGATCTGTCAGAATCACACGGTGCACGTTCAATTGTTTACACAACACAATATGTTGTTCGACCAATGCCAAAAGACGGTTCGATACTTCAGCCACAGACGGAGTGTTCAAAATTACTCATAAGTAGACAAAGATAAATAACTTGTACCAATATTTACATGAAAACAACAAAAAGAAGACTCTAAGTTCAAAAGACTAACAAGACTTTCTCCAAGTCTTCATCGGAACAACATTTTGAGCTCCTCAAGTCTTGCCGACCGGACTTCTTCATCGGTCAAAGCTCCGGCAATCATCCGCTGCTTTCTCGCCTGAACTTGCTGCATCCGTTCCTCCACTGTATCCTGTACATAATCATCCAAAACAAACACAATGTTACTTACTTAAGAGATCTTGCTTACGAAGAAACTCAGAGAAAAATGTGGTTTTATAGTGTTACCTTGACAATGAATCTTCTGACGAATACTGTTCGTTTCTGCCCGATTCGATGAATTCTCATGATTGCTTGCTCTTCCACTGCCGGATTCCACCATGGATCCTAAGTGTTTCAAGAAAGAAAACCAAAACATCAATTCATCATTCAATTATCAAGAGGACTTCAAAACAAAGTGCTTGAAGAGAGGTGGTACCATTAAGAAGACACTTGAAGCTGCGGTTAGATTCAGACCAACTCCTCCAGCTTTCAGAGACATAAGCAGAATCTGTAATACATCACAAAAACAGAAGCATAACGATCTTAAGCTCTCTCTAGTCGATCCAGAAAGAGTGTTAGACAACTATCCAATCACTTACTGTTTTCTGTTTGGTTTCATTGAACTCTTTCAAAACCTTTTCTCTTCCCTTCTGAGCCAGCTTCCCATCGAATCTAAGAAACTCGAATCCTTTTCTTCGCAACGGAATCTCCAAAAGATCCAAAAATGAAGTCCACTGGCTAAAGACAATGCTCTTCTCACCTGAACCAGATTTCTGGATCTTCTCTAAGCACTTGAGCAGCTCTGAAACTT